CGCGACGCAGTATAGATCTGTACAAAGGCACGAACGTTTCGCTGAACCCGCTGCCTCAAACTTCGGGATAGAAGATGGAGATTGGTTTCCCCAAAACGTTAGCTCGTCGAAACGCTGGTAAGCATTTACAAAACCACACGGTGTCACATCCAAGAAGGTCGTAATATTGATACTCACAAAAGTGAGAACCTCAGATATCACAGACTAGTCAGTCTACAAAAATGAAGTGGACATTATACGTACTTCGTACCATTTTACTTTAATGTGTTTGCCATCCCTCAGTGCAGTTCTGTGTTGCGCATGCGCTGTTGGTGTGTAGTCACAGCAACGTCCCATCCTGAACCGTACTGGCGTAAATTGACCTCGGTGGCCAATAAATCATTGGCTTCTTCGTGACTGGAGGTGTGTAGTTTTGTGGATATGAATGGAGCCATCGGGAGGCGGCGTACTTGCTCGGATGTCGAAATGGAATAGGATTCAAGAACATGAAATTTCTACTAAGTAGTGGTAGCAGTAGAAGCAGCCGAATAAGGAATTTTCACGTTTAACTCGGCAGAACATTTTACTTTGGGATATCTCGCTGCTCTTATTGATATTGCTGACTTCCCCTGTGTATTCGAGCCCGACTTGAGTGAGGTTAATACCAAATCCATTATACTTGCTCGGATACATCCAGAAGCCGATTAATCCTCGACCATTAATCATTACTAGTGCGTTATTTAGTCCACTGTGAGAAACAGAATACTGACAGTGAGAACCTGGCGTAAAGATTAGCATATAATAATCGTAATTCTTAAGAAGAAAACTAGTAGCACAGTAACTATTAAGTGCTTATATGAGAATATCTCAGCAAGATAAGGGGGTTCTGGGATAGAGGTCAGCAGTTTTGGAGGATATATATAGGAATTAGGTTAACCAACACTACTCACTCTTAATGTTTTACAATTCGACTTTTATTCCTGCTACATGTTTCGGTAGTATGAAATCGTCATCAGGCAGTTATATATATTAATACGTTTAGTTATTGAACTACCAATATGGATCTATAACAGTGCAACATGTAGCTGGGATGAAAATCGAATAGACGGTTAACCTAATTCCTATATATATACTATATCTGGAACACACAGCAGGAAGGAACGAAGACAGTTTTGGAGGGGCCTTGTGGGATCTTGCTAAGAAAGTTATTGCGTGTTGAACTGCAGCATATCTCTGACGTCAGGAAACGAACCAACAAGCTGAAGAGTCCTGTCTTCTGTTGATATAGACCAAGCAAGAAACCAGGATTATTTCTGATTCATGCCGGTTTATTCCTTGTCTTATTTTTCGACCATGAAGATGGAGAAGGTATGTTCCACCGAAACGTCGGTTGACTTTAAATGGATCACATGTTGTTGTATCCCAGAAGATGGGGTTATTCATAAACTCCACTTTGATAACCTCCAATCTTACAGAGCAAAGAGGCTAACTGAGGGCTCTCAAAATGATAACAGTTCCACGCCTTACATTTCTGCATGTAACCGAGCCACCTACCTATGCTTGCTCTGGTCTTTAGGTCAAAACTGTGCTTCCATCCGTAAGATGTGCGTCACGTGGGTGTCAGTTCTGTCAGGGCCGGTGCCAAGTTGTAATGGGTCTTTTTTCCATTTCGAAGGACCCTTAATCGAACTCCGAGACTATATGTAAAGTTACATGAATTAATGCTGTGCTCACCATAGGCGGTGATGATCTGATCTCAAGACAAATTGGTGATGGGGGGCAAGAAACTCGTCGTGGCTCAGTGTAAACAGACCACTGTGAATCAGCGTGGAGTGAGTGAACACGAAACTGGCAGAGAACAAAATTCAAGGCGTTTACCCTACTTAAACTGCTTGTACAGTTTCCTCACGTTTGATTTTACTTACAGTTAACTTAAGTTGCTTACATGTCATTAATTCAGTAGCTAATCCTTCCGGGAATCGGTAGAGGCAACCCTGTTCCGGAAATCTCACAGTATTACAAATTAATAAAGATCACATGTTTCAACGGTTTAGTCATAAAAATGTTAGTTGTCCCTGTGCCTAACTAATTAAGCACTACGCCATGAAGACGTATGGAGGAGTGGATGTATAGATCCACGTGTTCTTGACTTCATCATTAGTTTGAGGCGAGTGGTTAGCTTTACGCGCCGGTCACTTTATCCCAAGGGAAAGATCCTCGGTGCTGGGTAGGCCCCCAAACCGGTCAGGCCGACGTGGAGAGGACGAAAACCTTGCCCCCACCGGGCTCTAACTCCGACCCCTTGGTAATCCAGCTCGTAGACAGCCGCTATACCGACTGTGCTATCCTGGCTCTAGAGTTAGTCATTTCTTAAAGTAAATATATCTCAAAAGTAGTTTCCTTTTAGATTTGCTCCGGCTTTCGGGGAAAATATCACATTCCGGGGGAATACGGGACTCAGAATGAAGTGTATTGAACCTGGTGGGGTTTCCCAATGTAAGGGTTCTGAGCTCGAGCTTTATCCATTGGAACAAAATGTTGATGTGAGTAGATAAAACGGGACAGACCAGATGCTACCAAGGCACCCAGTTCGTATCCTCCTACATTTGATTACCACAATAGAATTTGGTGTTATATAAATCTTGAAACTTCTCCTTATGCAAGTTTTTCCAGCCTCGTGTTACTTGCTCTCTCTGACGTTCCTCAGGACCCTGTTTCAAAACAAGCTACATGTATATCCTTCACCTGGAGCAAAGAGACCAAGTTTCACACCCACGCAAAACATGGGTACTAGTATGCAATTTAATTTTTTTACTGTATCTAAATCTTTATGTTAAAAATCTTTAGCACTGTGCCAAATGAAACGTTTGGGAACAGCTTGGCTGGAACATGCGTACAGACGGGCAGTCACCCCGAGCGGTGCTGAGCCTGATCGTTCTACTTTTCGGTAACAAGGTGACGTCACTTCACGTGCTCCCAATACTCCATCATTTGTCTCTCCAGACTTGCGACTGCCTTGCCACACTTGGCACGACTTTCACGTTACTTCTTGCGGTGAACTCGACTGCCTTCTAATCATGACTGACAAATGCCTTTAATACAGTAAAACCATCTATTGCAACTTGTTACGTTCACGTTAATTAAATACTTAACCATCGGTCATGTTTTGGTCGCAGTTTCGCCATCTTCAGATGTGTTCAATCATGCAAGTAAGAAGCAACAAACACGTGTTCTCATACACATATAAGTTTATATAAGAATAAATAGGTTCATCGGTTATAGTGACATTCATAAGAAGAACTGGTAAAATTAGGTAGTTTTTAATTTCATCGGATGTCTACAGAATTATTCGTAGTATATCTACACCCGTGTAACAACGGCGAAATAAACATCTGATGTCTTAGGGAACAATACAAAACTATAATTTTTCCTGTGGTTCTGTGTTGGTGTGAAACCTGGTCTCGGAATTTAAGGGAGGAACATAGACTGAGGGTGTTTGAGAACAGGGTGTTCAGGAGAATATTTGGACCGAAGAGAGATGACGTGACAGGAGGTTGGAGAAAACTGCATAATGAGGACATTCATAACTTGTACTCTTCTCCAAGTATAATTAGAATGATCAAGTCAAGGGGGATGAGGTGGGCAGAGCATGTAGCACGAATAGAGGCGAGGAAGAATTAATACAGGATACTGGTGATAAAGCCGGAAGGAAGAGATCCACTGGGAAGACGAAGCCCTCTGTGGGTGGACAATATTAAAACGGATCTTAGATATAGGAAGGGATAGTGTGGATTGAATTGGCTCAGAGTAGGGACCAGTGGTGGGTTCTTGCGAACACGCTAATAAACTTTGGGGTTCCATAAAATGCTGGGAAGTTCTTGAGTAGCTGCACAACTGACAGATTCTCAAGAAGGGCTGAGCTCCGCGAGTGAGTGAATGTCGTAGGGTGCAGTAGAACGTCAATATTTAATCAAAGCCCGTTCAGTATTTCTTGCTCATTTTCATAGTTTGATAGCTGTCCCTTCTGCGACTGCTCTCAAGGAAATGTTTGTATTCCAGTTGCTATGGGCAAATCGTTTAAAATATTCTCAATAGGAAAACGTCCCCGCGTATGTCCTTCCCAGATTACATTCCATTGATTCATTTAACTTCGCATTCGGCGCTCTGTATTCTTTGCAAATAACATAATTACGTACATGTAAGCAAACTTGGCCTCATGCCTATTCACTACTCAAACCTCGGAGTTGTGTCATGGAGGTAAAGAACCATTCATTCTACATCTCAGCAATAGGTGGAGGTTTGTAGCTTCGCGATGTGGCGCTTCCCAGTGTTTTGTTCTTAACACCCGCACATGTTCTATGTTCCCTTAGTGTGGGCGACCAACTTCCGCGGCCGTATAAAAGAGCAAGTACTCGTAGTTTTGGGGTTTTCGACATAGCACAAAAATATGAAATATTCTTATTCTTCACCAAGAAAAGAAGTGGCTTTTCAGAAGTAGATAGGGGTTCGAGAACAGAAGAAACGCCCATGGGAATGGCTTACGAATAAATTTTTGTATATATTTGTCATTTTCCCAAATCTTTCGACATGTCTCACTAATATAACCCTCCTCGATTTCATCACTGTATTAATATTTGATGCATAACGCAAATTGTGTTCTTTTATTACAGCAGTTTGCACACAGCGACATTGGTCGTACGGAAAAATGTCGTACGATTTATTTTTGCCATACGACCTCCTTTTCACACTAGAGCGACCAAATACATTTCTTTGCTCTCCGACTGTCGTACGGTAGATGTCGCATGTCGTCACGTATGAAAGCTAAGACTACACTTTATATTCTACTACTTGATGCGACATGAACCGTACGGACGTCGTACGGCCGATGTCGCTGTGTGTGTTCCTAGATGCAAACACTCTCCTCAGCATCTTTTCCCCAAACACACTCAATGCATACACCACTGTTACTGCGACACTCGTGCAAAACAAGTGAACAGCAGTGCATCTCCTGTGGGACTTACCTGCACTATCGTGGCAACGGCCAGTCCGAAAGTGAAGGCGATCTGCACGACGCTGGGAGAGCCGTCCCAAGGAGTGATACTGCTGCAGCCAACCAAGACGAGGAAGAACGTACCCAAGAATTCAGCTGACAGCATTCGCCAGATGTTGCGGTTGTCCGTGATGTCGTGCAGCCCTATCACAGCCTTTGCACCTGCACATCAACGTAACATTTCAATTGGCGTTCGACTCGGCTTCAGTACAAGTTTCAATTTTTTTTTTTTCAGTTCACGAACATTTTGACTTACTGAAATGAAAATAAACAGCCAGTGCAAAACACAGTGTACTAACATTCTTATAACCAGGGCAGGTGTCACGCTCCTGGTTTCCTTCCTCATACTCCTGAGGCATTTTTGAGGTGTAGTGTTATCAATGAAAATGGTGAAAACTGTAGAAATCTTTAGAACTAATTCTTTTCTTACATTAAAGTTCACAGATCCCTGAGGTAGAAAAAAAAAGTTAAATCTAACGCTGTAATAGGCCTCGGAGACCCATACGATTGCGAGACGTTGAGGTTCCTACATTATCTAGAAAATCGGCTCAAAGATGGCGATAACATCAGCCTTACGCGCCGTCCGCCCTTTACCCCCAGGAAAATTCCAGGTACTCATTTCTGTTAGAGGCTGAGTCGACCCCAGGGCCATAGTGCGGCTGGAAGGATTATGTCAATTGAAAAGAAAAATCCAATAACATCGGGACTTGAACCCGCGATCTTCCGGCTTGTAACATAGTGCCTCAACCAACTACGCTACCGCGTGCCCCTCCCTGAGGTAGAAAGGATAGGGCAGTACCAAATACAGAAACACCTGATCAAACGTCACGTAAGGACTTGCAGTTATTCAGTTGAGAAGTTCTTAACGACACTTCTTTATTAACATTGTAAGATATATGTCTTGCGGTGACGGTATGGTTCAGTATGCTTTCTATTTTCTGGAAAGAAAAAACCCTAAGTACTGAATTGAGGATATTATACAAGGAGTAACTTCGTCTTATGTACAGATCTAGTAATATTCAGGACAGTGAAATCAAAGATTAAAGGTAAACTAAGCATGCAGATGGAATTCGAAGACAAGAAATACATACAGCATACAGGAAGACCAGAAAGGAGATGCGATGAAAATGGAGAGAGGTTGTACGGAGGTGAGAAGTGATATCGCTTAACGAGGATTATGTACAATTGTGTGTTTCATATTAGAGATATTGAACCTTCGGGGTCTCTTGCGAGTCAGAGCTGACAGTATCCTACACAGGTCTAAACACAGTATCTTACATAACATGAATACGAGAAAGGGGTATCTTATCTTATCCACCATTTAAACATCTTGACAAAGGCTCTCAGTACTTCTTAATCACAGTAAACACTCAAAGTATCCTACTTACTTCAGCATCACTCGTATCGCGGTGTTACTTCATTTCAATGAGCCCCAAGCGTTATGTATTTAAGTAAACATCGCATAACATTTTGTCTTGTCTCTTCGACATAAAAACAAAACTAGAAGCTTCATAGGAGCCGGAATAGCTCAGTCAGTATAGCTACTGGTTTAGGGCTGGATCGGAGTTCGAGTACCGGTGAGGGCAAGAATTTTCCCTTCACCATGTCGTCCAGACCGGCTCTGGGGTCCACCCAACCTCCTATCAAATGGATACCTGGGGCTCTTTCCCCGGTGGTAAAGCGGTCGGGGCGTGAAGCTGACCTCTCACCTCCAACTAGTGCCGAGATCATAAAAAACACGGGTCTGGACATCAGCTCAACCATACGCCTTCATGACGTAGTGCTCAATTAGTTAAGCACAGCGACAACTTTAATTTTTACCTTTACTGAAAGCTTAATATCGAACCCGGTATAAATATGACGCCACGTAGTGTACACTCAAGTCATTAACGACCTGCAAACCTATGCGCTACAGTAAGTTACTACGAACAGTGATACTCGACTTTAAGAACACTGTCTTTAGGATGGAAAAAGACATCATGATTTTATAAAGTTGTGTTGACAATTGTCGGCACTAATGAGACTTCCCCCCCCCCTTGGCATTACAGCCCCAGTGGGCCTAGGCCTACCTCCATGAACTTCTCCGTTCACTTCGGTTTTTCTAGATCTTACACATTCGGTAGGACTCCTTGGGCGGGTGATCAGCTCGTCGCAAGGCCTCTGCCTGTAGACAAACACAGAAAACGCGCGCGCACACGCACACGCACACGCGCACACACACACACAAACTAAACATCCATGCCCTGAGTGGGATTCGAACCCACGATCCCACGAGCGAAGACAGTACATGCCTTAGACCGCTCGGCTACCGTGACCGGCCAATGAGACTTCTGGTATGGAGTAATTTCATAAATACAAGAGAAGTTTCTCGAGAAGCATTTCTGTTTATTGAAATAGTTCAAAATCAGAGAAATTTTCGGGTTTGGCAAGTTTAACTTTTATTGTAGTTTCTAAGAATCTAGAAGTTGTATTGAGGATGTACGTGTAAAATGAGAGGATGGGTCTATGCTTCTGCAGGTTGCTACTCCTATAGCTTCCAATTAAAGGGTCGTTTAAGACGATAAACTACGCACACAAGAATACTGTATCAGAAGCAGCCTTTGTTTCCTTCTGAAAGATGAAATGGGCTTTCCAGCTTTCTTTTTTCGCAAACATCAACTCCGAAGCAGTGGGCCTGTAATTTATTACAATTATTTTCAATCAAAACTTATTTGTACCTGCCTCGGGTGATTAGGATGATGGAGAATTTGGTGGAATGAAGATTGGCAGGGGAAACCGAAGTACTGGGAGAAAACCTGCCCCAGCGCCACTTTGTCCACCACAAATCCCACTTGACGAGACCTGGGATCGAACACGGGCCGCCGCAGTGGGAAGCCAGCGACTAACCGCTTGATCTATGGCGCGGCCTGAGGTGATGTATTCTGTACAAGTCCTAGCAGTGTCATAAAGGAGTGCAACTTTTGTAAATACACGTATTTAGTCAATGTACTCTTTGTTTGTCGTAAATTATACTGTACTTCATTGTGACAAAGCGTCCTTAAACTACTCATTAAGCGAAACTGTTGGATACTTTCACTGTGTCTTGTTTTGCTTCCTTAGTATTTGTTTTTTTAATGGAAACCGCGTGGGTTTGTTTACAAAATTAATTTCATTTCGCGAAATGCGATATGAAAGTTCCTGTCACTATACATCACCCCAACACAACAAGTATTTATTGCATAATTTCGTCAGTTTCGAGCATAGGATTGTAAAGTTATGAAACTATGCGATGTTCGTTTAATATAAGTTAATTTTCTAGAATCACATGTTAGCTGTGCGAGAGAAATAAACCTGATTGATGGGGAAATTAAGAGGAGATTGAACTCGCGTAATGCTTGCTACCATTCAGTCCAGAACCTTTTGTCTTCTTGTCTGCTGTCCAAAACCATAAAAATTTAAATACGCAAAACTATAATTTTGCCTGTGGCTCTGTATCGGTGTGAAACTTGGTCTCTGACATTAAGGGAGGAACACAGACTTAGGGTGTTTGAGGACAGGGTGTTGAGGAGAATATTTGGGTCCAAGACGGATGAAGTGACAGGAGGTTGGAGAAAACTGCATAATGAGGAGCTTAATAATTTTTAAGGCCGCGCCATGGCTCAAGCGGTTAGTCGCTGGCTTCCCACCGCGGCGGCCCGGGTTCGATCCCGTGTCTGGTCAAGTGGGATTTGTGGTGGACAAAGTGGCGCGAGGGTGGGTTTTCTCCGAGCACTTCGATTTCCTCTGCCAATTTTTATTCCACCAAATTCTCCATCATCATAATCACCCGAGGCAGGCTACAACAGGTCAATCAGTGACCGCCGTGCCGAGTGGACACAGTTGGACTCCAGCCCCCACTATGCGAATTTAAAGAAAAGTAATAACTTGTGCTTTTCTCCAAGTACAATTATAGTGATGTAGTCAAGGAGGATGAGGTGGGCAGAGCATGTAGCACGAATTGAGAAGAAGAGGAATGCATATAGGATATTGGTGGGAAAGCCAGAAGGAAAGAGACCACTGGGAAGACCAAGGCGTAGGTGGGTGGAGAATATTAAAATGGATCTTAGAGAGATAATATAGGATGGTATGGATTGGACTGATCTGGCTCAGGATAGGGACCAGTGGAGGGCTCTTGTGAAGACGCTAATGAACCTTCGGGTTTCATAGAATGCTTTGAAATTCTTGAGTAGCTGCAGATTTGGCTTCTCCTCAAGAAGTGAAAAAAATAAAAATACTTATCGACTTGTTTATTGCAGTGCTGCAGCAATGGAGTTAAAATCTGCGATGGCAACGGAATTATTTTTGAAGTTGTTTCGAGATGTGGAAGTTAGGTTGCCTTATATAATTATTTCATGCACATATGTGGTTAGTTTATATATTCCGAAAGGGCTTCTAAAATAGTAGCAGCAAGTAAAGCTCATAAAGCTCTCCCTAGCAAAATCAGCCCGAGAGAAAATTTGCTTTCGACAATGTTATGATTGCATATCGCTCAATTGAACCATACATCAGAAAAAGCAGTGTTCCGCTCTCAGGTCGCGGCTTAAAATTTGAAGTTTGGAATGGACGGTTCTGTATATTCCCTGTTCTGAAATAGCCTAACATACCTGGCGATGGTATTGAAAGTAGCAGGGAGTTCTGCCCAAAATGTCGCAAGACAAGATCACTGCTTCAAGGCCGATGGATGTAACTGTTGTTACGACGTGACAAGACAGGAGGGTCATGTGGCCATTTTAATACATTCGTCTGGAACGGACAACGAAAAGGACGAAGAAGATTTTGTGCCTAAGTTCCAGGTAATGAAAAATCTAAGGGAAAGTGGAGGTAAGCTTCCACGCATTCTTATCTTTGTATGGGGAATGGAGGCTAGTGGCCAACTTGACACTGCAACTTGATCCCTTGGAAAGAGCCCCTGATACCCATTGGTGCCACGACAGCAGGAAATGGGGCTTCTTGAAGGTTCTTTCTCGTATATTTCTTTCCTGGTCGAACAAGCTTAGAGGAAGAGATGCTTGAGAGACCTTGGCGCACCTAAGGAGAGATAGTTATTGGGAAAATTGAATATCTGTGTGTACACTGCGTTGATACGCTTTCAATAATGGGCCTCTGTGAACCTTGCGTCCTATAAAAGTGGTGGGGATCCATTG